GCCCCACTGTATATGGGGATGACAATTTGTTTGTACATGTGTGTTTTTGTTGGGGTGGGAGAACTGCAGCCAGAGGTCAAGATCCAGTGATGTAAACCTGACTCATACACTCTATTTGAGGGCTGCTTGACGTGTTACTCATCCTCATTGGATGGATACATATGTGTCGTGTGTTGAGCCCATTGGTTGGTCATGCGTCTTATCTCATAGGATGTTTGCTTTGCTTATAGTTTATTCCCAGTGTGCATTTCACTGTGATTGGCTTTTGTCACTGAATGTTCCTGTACTTTTGTCCCACCTGATGTTTATTCTGTACTTGAACTAGCAGCACCTGTTGATGTGTGAACATAATTTGTGGAGAACTTTGATTGCTTGAGGGGTCCATTAAGAGGCCATTTGGCTCAGATTTTAACAACCCACATGGTTCCAGACAGCTGGTCGAGCGATGACATTGTGGCATAAAATGGAGCAATGCTCACTCTTTCCTGTCTTTGCTAAACTATTTTTACAGACTCTAAATTGGTTCCCAGTTTACAGTTGAAGCACTCTGTAAAGGTCAGAACTGTAAAAACTATTTTTACAATGACCAAAAATGTTACCATTTAGCGCTCTTAATATTAAAGTTATAGTCATATAAAGTCATATATTTCCAAAGTATTAGAGACATGTAGGTCTAATGTGGCTCTGAACACAGAAACAGCACTGACTTCCTCAGGGAGTGGTTAAAATGGAGAAAGAGGGCGAGAGAGAGCTTGTGTTTTTTATGGTACAGTCTAAACGTACTTTCAGTTGACAGACACCTCATACTACGTTTGTTAGCAGTTTAAGCCACTTTATCTTCCTAATCCATCACATATAAAATGATTTTATGTATGTATACCGTTTAAAGGTTTTTAATGATTTTTGTAAAGAAATTAATAATTTTATTCAGGAAAAAAACATTAAATTGATCAAAAGTGACAGTAATAAATGCTGTTCTTATGAATTTTCTATTCATCAAAGAAAAAAAGTATCACAGTTAACACAAAAATATTAAGCATCACAACGGTTTTCAAGATTGATAATAATTAGAAATGTTTCTTGAGTACCAATCAGTATTAGTGCGTTTCATAAACTATTTACAGTACATAATGTTTTACAGCTCGCTGGGTCGCCCCTGCCCCCAGCTTCCCTTTCCAGAGAACTTGGAGGGGGGGACCAAACGGGATCTTATCTCAATTTTCCATTCACTGCTCCAAGTTTCCGTCCCTTTTTTTTTCACCACATCCATTTTCCCCCAAGCTGCAGCACTATACTTAGCATGTACGTGCTCTGTTTTTATGGCTACTGTGGTGGTTATGATCATACTGCTGTTGTAATCTCATGAAGAGAGTTTCAATTGAATTTCATCAGCTAAACTAATAGGGGCTGGCAGTCTTTTCCTGTCTTCATGCATTGTTGAATGAGTTACATTCGGGCACTCTTGATCCATAACAATGGTTAGTTTCAATGATTCATCTCACCAGAAGGGATCAGAGAGAGGAATTGATTTGGAATAAGACTTGGTTGGGTTTGAGCTGGTCTTGTTTTTTTTCCCCCCTTTTTTTTTTTTTTTTTTTGTCAAAAAAAACCCCCCCCCCCCCCTCCTCTGGACAGAAGAGCATTCTATTTTATTTATTTATTTATTTTTATTCAAACTTTAAAACACATATATAATTATTTATTTAATTGATGTTTAATTTATTTATGATTTATTATATTTTAGAATGTATTTATTTTATAATTAATTATAATAAATCTGTAATTTATAAAACAAAGGTAAAATATATAAAAACACTTAATGTCACATTTAGCTTCATTGTTTAGGCAAAAAAAAAAAACATTTGATATTTTTTTCCATTAAATATTTAATCGAGATTAAAATAATAGAAAATTTGTCTCAATTTAAACAAACGCTAAAAATTGAGATGAGTAATTAACTCCAGTATAAGAAATTTACTTTTGCTATCATGTAATGTTCAGTGATATCTTCTTCATATTTTCTAATTTTGGTTATTTCTCTATATAGTGTTGATATGGCAACTAGTAAATGCAACAGTTTTGTCATGATAGCATGTGTGGAGCACCCACAGCTGAAGCTGTAATAATAGATACAAATCTAGTAAATATTTGTGAACTGTGTGAGAACTTCTAACTCTAATCTCAACCTGCTAGTACATTGTCATCTACACGGTAGGGCTGTGTATCACCAGCAAAGTCACGATACGATATGTATCACGATACAGATGCCACGATACGCTACATATCACGATACGGGACTGCACTTCACCTCAGAAGAATTTAATAAAACAGCTGTTTATTAAACACTGCATACTATAGTGCCATTTCTAACTATTGGCCTCTATTGAAGGGCCTCCATAACTGTACCATCTATGTACTGTGGTAATGTTTCATGTTTACATTGGGCACCCCCACCAGGTACAATATTCTGATTTTTTGCATCTTGTTTTTAAGCCCATAAATAATAATGAACTCGTTCTAATAAATTTATATTGTAATGTAGGCTACTCATTCTAATATATTTTTAAAAATCATATTTACATTGCTGGTAGGTTATCATTGCACAAATTAACACACTCTCTGGTTGCCAGGTTGACAAAGATAAGTACTTGCCTGTTATTTCCGTATTGCGCAAGTGTGAAGCTCTGTTTTGGGGATTGCGTGTCTTTATATCAGGCAACCCAGTTGTGTTCCTCTGCGGCCAGATTAAACCTAGTTATAGCCTATGTATTATTCTCTATTCATTATTTTTTAGAAACCTCACACTTTTCTGCTCAATTTTAAACGCTGTTCTTGTGTTCAAATTAAGCGCGGTCCTCTGCTGCACACGTGCCACAATATTGATACAGGGCCAGCTGTATGGATACTCATATCGTCAAATCTCTGTGACGATACATCGTCGTATCGAACACAGCACTACTACACGGTGCAGCTGATTGGTTTCTGTTGCGTCAACAGTCAATGAGCTTGCTGTTCAACATTCAAATACTTGACCAGTGTTCGCTGTAGCACGTTACAGCACACTTTAAGAAACCCTCCACCTTCCCCAGCTCCACCTGAATAGATCTGCTACAGGTAATTTCATGTATGTTATATGTGCGGGGTAAATTCATCTGTGTTATATGTGCAGCAGCAGTATGTCTTACATGCTCACAAAAGCATGTATGTGGATGCATTCCACTTATTCCGATCTGTTCTGCCGAGACCAAATACATTAACATTGCCATGTGTATTACCATGCTAATCATTCCTAGAGTTGTCATGACAGAACTAAAATGAGTGACAGATTTTTGGTGATTTGTGTGCTTTCTAGGCTAAATATAATCAGAATTTGAATTTAACTCTCAGAATTGCAGTGATTGACATATATGATAATCATAGCAATAGGCAGGACAGAAATTTATGTCATCCTGATGTGCATTAAGCCTAGAGCAGCTTCACTTGTTTCAGAAGCACCCTCAATGGTTTAACGTTAACTTACACAGTGACTCAACATTCGTAGAAGTTGTTCAGGAAACCTAAACCCAATGGTAATCCACTTACTTCAGATGTGATGCACACTGGTTGAGAAATGCCACGCCATCATATTCTCTCATTCTCCTGACAGTCCAATATCTAATCACCAAATTTAATCGCCATACAGGCACGAATTTCATTTCAAGAATGAAAAAAATTGACTTTTTGCTGTAAAAAAAGTTTGCACAAACTGAAAGAGTAAGGGCAATCTATATTATCTCGTTATATAAAATGTAGACTTTATTCAGTCCACAACAAGACAAATGAATTAATGAAAAATGTCTCGCAAACACAGTCTGTTATGTAAAGTGAATGTAAACAGAAAGAAATCGGATATGTATCATTATTGGATCTATGCATTGTCTTAAAGTGACAGCAGCCTATAAATACCTGCTGCTGTCTGTGTGATTTTTGTTAACCAAACAACAAAACACAGCTTTAAAAAAAATTATCCATATTTAATTTATACAGTGAGCACTGTGCAGTGTTATTATACAGTTAATTACATTTCTATAGCTGAATGCTACTGTTAGACCTTATTTTATTTGTAACTTTGTTCTGTTGTATTTATCTATGCTTGAAATTTGTGCAATTGTTCTTTATTTCATCACTGACTGTTCAATTGTCATTATAATGTTTGAACTTTATTCAAGTTTTTGCTCTGGTATTGAAGAAGAACTTAAAGGCACAATATGTAAGATTTTTTTTTTAATTAAAATATCCAAAAACCACTAGAACAGTGTTATATATTTTGCTGACTCGTGTACTTACATTATCCCAAATGTTTTGAAGAATGTTTAAATCCAGAGAAATAAGCAATTTTAACTAGTGACACGGACCGTGTCCATAGTGTCATTGTGTCGCCTGCCAATGACGTCATAACCCCTCGATTTCCGGTTTTGTTTTGTAGAAAACATGGAAATACCAAAGACGCTTTAATATGTTGTGCGTTTTAATCGACCGGTGACGACCGCACAGAGTAGCATTATAACTGAACTTTCAAATGTATCTAGTATGAATAAACAGCGCTGCTTTTTTCCCCACTTACGCACAACCAGAAGGAGCGGAAGCGGTCGACTGTGGTATAATAAAAGCTCTGCTGCTTTCGAGCTGTGTGTCACACTTGTTTAGTGGCCTCGTTTCGCTTCGACGGCTTTCAGGCTCACCCTGCTTCATTCTACTACGTTAATAAATCATTAGCTCATCCATGAACATGATTTCTGCCCGAGTCCCGTCGGATTTCTTCGGCTGTGGGGATGAAGACGACAACTCCCATGATTCCACACTCAGTCACTGCGTCATCAAACTACGCCTTTGTCTCTTTGTTTATTTTGAATACACGCCCTCTAGTGGCGAAAATTACATATTGTGCCTTTAAAGTGTTCTTTAAGATGAGTGAGATCAGTGATTAATAACTAAATCTGATTGGTTCTCTGTGTTTACAGGACCCAGAAATGGGCGATGCAGATGCAGGAGGAGCTAGTGCAGTTGATGGATGCTGAGACCGGCATACAAAAGCTTCAAAAAGTAAGACCACACATTTGTTTTTCAGCACGCTAAACAAATTTTATGCAGCTATGAATATTTCATATACTGCCACAAAAACAAATACAAATGTGAGTCACATTAGCTTGGCAATTAGCATATATGTACTACAGAGTGCTACAGTGGCCAGCCACATTTTGGTTCTGGAACTTTTTATTTTTTTTCTCATTAATGTTAAAGCATTAAATGTCATGAACCAAACCAACCAACTATGATTTAAATCCCAACTTTGATTTGAAGCAATTAAGTATTTGAAAATTGGGCAAAAACACAAAGATACAAGTGGTATAAGTGTGTATTTAATGGCTTTAATAAAGGAAAAAAAACAATCCCATCAAGCAGTGCGAATGACATAATTGAATTAAAAATTATGGAGAAATATAGAACTATACAAATAGAGCATATGGCGATTACTTCATTTGAAGTGCTTCATGAGAGTGGGTGGGTGCTAAAGAATTATTTCGGCACAATTTTCTTGCAGTAGTCCTCTGATTGGAGGAGCTTTTCTAATTGGATGGGTAATGTAGTTTTTCACCAGGAATTCCACTGTTAAACATGATTATTTAAAAATGAACTTGAAATAATGCAGGCTGATGGCTTCAACAAAAGCATATACCTTTGATCAACAAAATCCAAGCTTATAGTAGATCCTGTTTCAGTTTTAGAAGTTGTCCTTAAAAATCAATTTTCCTATGCAGAAAATGAATGGGACTTGCTAGTGCAGTAGTTCTAGAGTTGTCTTTTCAGGGATGAAGGAAAGTCGTGACATGAAGGTGATTAAATGATTACAGAATTTTCATTTTGAGTGAACTAGTACAACTTCAAAAGGAGCAAAACTGCTTTAGCATCTCTATCACCCAGTCTCAACAAAACCTTGTGCTGTATGTCATGCGGTTTGCCATTCTGAAAGTATTTGTGTCCAAGGCCAGTGCACAAAGACTATTTGGTGTGTGTGTGAGAGTCAAAAGAATTTCATCAACCCACAATTCCTGCTGCCAGCTGTTGAACTTGGTGGCGATCTTTAATGGTACTTTGGTCAACTTATGGGGGTCATGAGGTCCAGAAACTCCTTTCTGATATTGCTCCACTATTTTTCACCGCAGCATTGGGGGATTATCTATTTATGCATTGCTTATCACAACCGTTTTTACATTAGACTAATTAGATTTGCAGGTATGTTTTTAATGAATGCTATGTTTTTTTTAATCTGCTCATAAGTAATGGCTTTTGAGACAAATTCCAGCAAGTAAACCTGAAACCTCTCTTTCTATCTTTCTCTCTCTCTCAGATTTTCCTGCAATTTCATAGACACTATGATGTCAAGCAATATTTTCCTATGCTGAAAATGAATGGGAGACGCTAGTGCAGTAGTTCTAGAGTTGTCTTTTCAGGGATGAAGGAAAGTCGTGACATGAAGGTGATTAAATGATTACAGAATTTTCATTTTGAGTGAACTAGTACAACTTCAAAAGGAGCAAAACTGCTTTAGCATCTCTATCACCCAGTCTCAACAAAACCTTGTGCTGTATGTCATGTGGTTTGCCATTCTGAAAGTATTTGTGTCCAAGGCCAGTGCACAAAGACTATTTGGTGTGTGTGAGAGTCAAAAGAATTTCATCAACCCACAATTCGTGCTGCCAGCTGTTGAACTTGGTGGCGATCTTTAATGGTACTTTGGTCAACTTATGGGGGTCATGAGGTCCAGTGTTTTCTCTGGACCAAAGATTGTTCTCTCATATATAATGGCTAAGGATTTTTACAGGGCCAGATACACTTAGTGATACAAATGCATTCACTCTCACTGCTAAATAAATATATGAGTGCAAATCACAAATTATCAGATATCCTCAAACCTATACAGTATATACACACAAAGTATATCCCTCCAACTTTTATGGACTTGTTGCAACGGCACTGATGGCAACAGAACTGATCATTCTTATTTTGGCCTTTATTATTATATATATTGTATCATGTTTTTTATATATGTTATTCTATTCTAGTCTTCTTAGCACATCCTGATTATTAATGTTTTACAGTCGACCTTCTAACCACTAAATAATTGCCTGTTTGGTTTAGCAAAGTCTGAAACATATTCTGTAATCCATATACATTCTTACCAGGTTTACTGTTTTTACATAGTCATGTTCTGGATTAATTACAGTTGCTTGCAAAAGGTTTGGATATTTAATCTACAAACCCGATTCCAAAAAAGTTGAATGAAAACAGAATGCAATGATGTGGAAGTTTCAAATTTCAATATTTTATTTAGAATACAACATAGATGACATATCAAATGTTTAAACTGAGAAAAATTATCATTTTAAGGGAAAAATAAGTTGATTTTAAATTTCATGGCATCAACACATCTCAAAAAAGTTGGGACAAGGCCATGTTTACCACTGTGTGGCATCCCCTCTTCTTTTTATAACAGTCTGCAAACGTCTGGGGACTGAGGAGACAAGTTGCTCAAGTTTAGGAATAGGAATGTTGTCCCATTCTTGTCTAATACAGGCTTCTAGTTGCTCAACTGTCTTAGGTCTTCTTTGTCACAT